AAGGTTGCGCATTCTCCACTATTATTATTTCTTCTTCTTTTTGCTTCCTTCTTCCTCTTTCTGCTTCTTTCTTCTTCCTTTTTATTTTTATGTATTTATTTTTTTTTTTTGAGACAGAGTCTCACTCTGTCACCCAGGCTGGAGTACAGTGGCACACTCTTGGCTCACTGCAACTTCCATCTCCTGGGTTCAAGTGATTTTCCTGCCTTAGCCTCCTGAGTAGCTGGAATTACAGGTGTGTGCCACCACACCCAGCTAATTTTTGTATATTTAGTAGAGATGGGGTTTCACCATGTTGGCCAGGCTAGTCTCGAACTCCTGACCTCAAATGATCCGCCTGCCTCAGCCTCCCAAAGTGCTGGGATTACAGACATGAGCCACCGCACCTGGCCTCTTTCAGAGACAGAGTCTCACTCTGTTGTGAGGCTGGAGTGCAGTGGTGCGATCATAGCTCACTGCAGCCTCAAACTCCTGGGCTCAAGTGATTCTCCCACCTCAGCCTCCCAAGCATCTGGGACTACAGATATGTGCCACCATGCCTGGCTAATATTTTATTTTTTGTAAAGGTGGGGTTGCATGTTGCCAAGACTGATCTTGAACTCCTGGCCTGAAGAGATCCTCCTACCTCTGCCTCCCAAAGTGCTGGGATTACAAGCATGAGCCACCATCCACCATTCTTTGTTTTATTTTAATTTTTTTATTGGAAGCAGGCTGGTATGTTGCCATGTTGCCCAGGCTGGTATCGAACTCCTGGGCTCAAGAGATCCACCTGCCTCAGCCTCCCAAAGTGCTAGGATTAAAAGTGTGAGCCACTGTCCCCATTTTTTTTTTTTTTTTTTTTGAGACGGAGTCTTGCTCTGTTGCCCAGGCTGGAGTACAGTGGCCAGATCTCAGCTCACTGCAAGCTCTGCCTCCCAGGTTCAGGCCATTCTCCTGCCTCAGCCTCCTGAGTAGCTGGGACTACAGGCGCCCGCCGCCTCACCCGGCTAGTTTTTTGTATTTTTTTTTTTAGTAGAGACGGGGTTTCACCGTTTTAGCCAGGATGGTCTCGATCTCCTGACCTCGTGATCCACCCGTTTCGGCCTCCCAAAGTGCTGGGACTACAGGCTTGAGCCACCACGCCCGGCCCACTGTCCCCATTTTTTTTTTTTTTTTTTTTTTTTTTTGAGACGGAGTCTCGCTCTGTCGCCCAGGCTGGAGTGCAGTGGCCGGATCTCAGCTCACTGCAAGCTCCGCCTCCCGGGTTCACGCCATTCTCCTGCCTCAGCCTCCCGAGTAGCTGGGACTACAGGCGCCCACAACCGCGCCCGGCTAATTTTTTGTATTTTTAGTAGAGACGGGGTTTCACCGTGGTCTCGATCTCCTGACCTTGTGATCCGCCCGCCTCGGCCTCCCAAAGTGCTGGGATTACAGGCGTGAGCCACCGCGCCCGGCCTGTCCCCATTTTTAAACTCTGCATGGATCTCTCCTTACAGCCTCCCTGAGAAATGGTCATCTATCTCCTGCTTGGGTATATTCAGTGACAGGGAGCTCATTACCTCCTGAGGCTGCCTGTTCTCATTATTGTTCAACTATGACTATTAGGAAGTTCCCCCTTATATTGAACTAAATACCATCCAGTTCGGTTATTCTTATGTAGAATATAATATCTGTTGAACTCCTGCTACGTGGCAAATGCTAAGCACTGGGAAATGTGATGATCTGTAGAACATAGAATGGGTTGTGATCATAAGGCGTGCTCAGTGCTGTGATTGAGGAAACTACTGGAGATCACCTTGGACTCCCTGGCCTGGACATAGCGGGAGGAAGCATCCCCAAGGAAGTGATGTTAGAGCTGAGAAAGATGATAGGGGAAGTAGACAGATGAAGAGAGGAAAGATGGGAGTTTCTGGCAGAAAAAAAACAGCATGTGCAAAGGCCTGAAGGTTCATAAAAGGTGGTGTTTAGAGCAGTCTTTTTTTTTTTTTTTTTTTTTTTTTTTTTTTTTTTTGAGATGCAGTCTCCCTCTGTCACCCAGGCTGGAGTGCAGTGGCATGATTTCAGTGGCTCACTGCAACCTTCACCTGCTGAGTTCAAGTGATTCTTCTGCCTCAGCCTCCTGAGTAGCTGGGACTAGAGGTGCCCACCACCACGCCTGGCAGCAATTTTTTGTATTTTTAGTACAGACAGGGTTTCACCATGCTGGCCAGGATGGTCTCAAACTCCTGACCTCGTGATCCGCCAGCCTCGACCTCCCAAAATGCTGGGATTACAGGCATGAGCCATCGCGCCCAGCCTAGAGCAGTATTTTAAAGTCTGATCAGAGCAGACAGCAACACGATGTGGAGGGGAGGAGGAAGGAGATTAGAAGTGCCAGTGGGACCCTGCTTGGCCACATAAGCAATTTGGGACTTATCTATTCCCCTGAATAAACAAGAGAACAAAAGCCGGGCTCGGTGACTCACACCTGTAATCCCAGCACTTTAGGAGGCTGAGGTCAGGAGTTCGAGACCAGTCTGGCCAACATGATGAAACCTTTTTTTTTTTTTTGTGAGACGGAGTCTTGCTCTGTTGCCCAGGCTGGTGTGCAGTGGCTCAATCTCGGCTCACTGCAAGTTCCGCCTCCCGGGTTCACGCCATTCTCCTGCCTCAGCCTCCCGAGTAGCTGGGACTACAGGCGCCCACCACCATGCCCAGCTAATTTTTTGTATTTTTAGTAGAGACGGGGTTTCCTCATTTTAGCCAGGATGGTCTCGATCTCCTGACCTCGTGATCCACCCGCCTCGGCCTCCCAAAGTGGTGGAATTAGAGGTGTGAGCCACCACGCCCGGCCGATGAAACCTTGTCTCTATGAAAAATACAAAAATTGGCCAAGTGTGGTGGCTCACACCTGTAATCCCAGTACTTTGGGAGGCCGAGGTGGGCGGATCACCTGAGGTCAGGAGTTTGAGACCAGCTTGACCAACATGGAGAAACCCCGTCTCTATTAAAAATACAAAATTAGCTGGGCATGGTGTCTCATGCCTGTAATTCCAGCTACTCGGGAGGCTGAGGCAGGAGAATCGCTTGAACCCAGGAGGCGGAGGTTGTGGTGAGCCGAGATCGCACCATTGCACTCCAGCCTGGGCAACAAAATCAAAACTCCGTCTCAAAAAAAAAAAAAAAAAAAATAGCTGGGCATGGTGGCTCATGCCTGTAATTCCAGCTATTTGGGAGGCTGAGGCAGGAGAATCACTTGAACCCAGGAGGCGGAGGTTGCAGTGAGCTGAGATGGCGCCACTGCACTCCAGCCTGGGTGACAGAGTGAGACTCTGTCTCAAAAGAAAAAAAAAAACCAAAAACTAAATTGGAATCCCATGGGTCTCAGGCTTTGGCACTCTGCCTGCCTGGGGGAGGCCTTATTTAGCTTGGCCCAGCCCTGCCGAGCTCTCCTTGGGAATGTCTATATATAGGGGAAGGGGGCAGCCCAGTTGTCACTGTCCATCTGCATTCCTTGGTGTCCAGCCCCCATTTCCTGGCCCCAGAGCCTGCTATCGGTTGTCTTGGTGCTCTTTCTGTCGACGTAGTCACTGTCCACAAGTCTTGCCTACTCCCCAGTGCCCAGCCTTTACCTTGTGGATTCTCAGGGTGGGTTCCCTCTGGACTTGCTTTGCCCACCCCTTTACTCCCCAGATGACCAGATGTCTTCACTGAGCTCTAGGAAGGGGCCAGCTACCCCTTTACCACTTAAATAACCTTCCCTTGCCTACTCCTTACCCCCAAAAAGTGAATCCAAACACCCTTTCCATGGAGAAGGTAACTTTGAGAGAAGGATCTTTGCTTTCAATGATTATTTCTCCTCCAAATGCACATCCTCCTCTCCTCCATCCCTCCATACATTTTTCCATCTAGACAGGTCCCCCAAGGACTGTCTGTCCCAACTTCCTTCCAATCGGGATTAATAATAAGAATCATCAACATGGGTGGGCATGGTGCCTCATGCCTGTAATTCTAGTACTTCGGGAGGCCAAGGATTCAAGGATGCCTTGAGCCTAGGAGTTCGAGACCAGCCTGGGCAACATGGTGAAACCCCATCTCTACAAAAAATACAAAAAAGGAAAACAAAAAAAGCCAGGGGTGGTGGCGCACTGCTAGTCCCAGCTACTCGGGAGGCTGAGGTGGGAGGATCACTTGAGCCCAGGAGATCGAGGCTGCAGTGAGCTATAATAGTACCACTGCACATCAGCCTTGGTGACAGAGTGAGTATAGACCTTTATGATTTACAAATCTCTGCAGTCAAATGGAGATAATAATAGTTGCTATCTCATAGGAGGAGCACTAGATGAGATCATGTTAAAATGCTTAGCACAGTGTGTGGCACATTGTGGGGGTTCAGTAAACAGTGGCCTAGCTGTCACTTTCCCCTCCTTCTATCCCCTGCCCCTTACCATGGTTCAAAGACAGGACATTCCTCTTGCCAAGCATCAACGCTGTGTACCCGGCACAAGCTAGGTGACTTATACCTGGGTTCCCATTTACCATGTTCTCTCTGTGAGGGAGACCCCACAGAGAGGTCCATTCCCACAGATGAAGAAATGACTCAGAGAGGCACTGCTACCTGCCCAAGGTCACACAGCTCGCAGAGGCTGGCCTTGGATCTTGGGTTTTGGACTTCAAGGCTTGTACTCTCCCCATTTTACCATGCTGCCTCACTCTTTACTACTCTGATAGTCCTTACCATCTTGGTGCTAGTGTGCTTCCTTGGTCGGGGGGACTCCAAGGCGGTGGAACAGGGCGGGACTTCCTCACAAGAATCTAGGACGTCAAGGCCTGCCACCTGCTTGGAGGCTTAAATTTCTCTGCAAGGGCCCTTGGCTAAATTAGGTAATGGGTTCAGACTGTGGGAGGGGTGGGGCTCGCCGACCCCAGGATCTGATTGGGCAGGGTCTCCAGTGCTGGGGAGCAGGGAGGTGGGAGGGGAGGGTGCCCCTACAAATCCCGGGGGCTAGAGCAGGCCAGGGCATCTTTGGGTGGCGGAGTGCAAAGGAGGCGACCTGCAGCAGAGGAGTCCTGGTCACCAGCAACCATGGTAAGGACAAGAGGGAACTTTGTGCCTTTACTTGCGGGAGCACTCTGGACCTCTTTCAGGCCAGACCTGAGTGCTTTGTGGGGCAGTAACTGGGATGTTTGAGGTTGGAGCATGGAGGTTCCTGGAACCCAGGTGTCTTAAAGGAAGGCCTTTGACTTTTCTTGAAAGGGGAGGGCTGGGATATTCCAGAGATTGATCCTCAAGGCTTGCTGACTGCCTACTCACCTTCGGAAACTTCCAGCAGTGTCATTCGTAGACCTGTGAGGAGCTCTTAGCTTGTTTCCTTCACACAGTGGGGACTCTGAGGGGTCAGAGTGAGTCACCCAGCAGGCCAGTGGCAGGGGTGAGCCAGAAGCCTGGCAAACCCTCCTATCATCATGGAGAGAAGAAAGCCTCGTCCAGAAGACAGGAGGTGGGCAGGGTGTGGGGCCTGCTCAGATGCAGGGCTCTGGGAGCCCTGAGGATGATGGGAAGGGGCAGAAGATGACAGACCAGAGTTAGAGAGACTCTGCTCTCCTAGAGAGGGGTTCTGATTTGGAGCTGTTGTTTTCGTCTGAGATCCCCCTGCCCACTTCACTTCAAGGAGTAACTAGATCCCGGAGGCCAGCTGCTGTTGCCCATGCCTGACTAAAAATAGCCTGCCCTCCTGGCACAGGGAAAGAGGAGGAGAGGAAGGAGGGGGAGAAGGAGGAGGGCCGGCAGCCAGCCGGCTGAAGAGCTCCTTGGAAGCCTCACCCCGTCCTCACTGCCAGCCTCAATCCAAAGCCTCTGGCCCAGATGGCCTGGCTTGGGTATGACCTGGAAACCCCCGCAGATATCTCACTTTCAGGTCAAGGCCTCCATCACATTCGGCCCAACATGAGGGGCCTTTTCTCCAATGACTGAATCCTAAGAAGGAAGCTTACAGTCTCCGACTCTGCCAGTTCTCTGAGGGGCGGGATGATGTGTCCTCTGTCTCTTCTTGGTGGTCCCAGTGCCTGATCTGCGGCCTGACGTGCAGCAAGTACTCAATAACTTTGTGTTGCATTATTATTTATTTGAGAACAAACATTTTATTGAGCAACAATTAAAGTACCGGGCACCACTAGGAGCTACAGAAAACTGGAAAATAGTGCTGGAATGGTGCTAGCCTTTACAAAACCCTTTCACACCGCTGATATCTCATCCCTGAAAAGCTACAGAGAAAAGATGAATGCATGCTAAGTGACTTGCCTAAGGTCACTGGGGGGTTCCTGACTTGGCCTTCAATTGACAAGTGAGAAGGCCTTGGGCTTAATTTGTTGTCTCCTCTCTTTTTCTCAAAACTGGGGTCACAGGCCACATGTGGTGGCTCACGCCTGTAATCCCATCACTTTGGGAAGCCGAGGCGGGCAGATCACTTAAGGTCGGGAGTTCAAGACCAGCCTGACCAACATAGAGAAACCTCATCTCTACTAAAAATACAAAATTAGCTGGGCATTGTGGTGCATGCCTGTAATCCCAGCTACTCGGGAGGCTGAGGGAGAAGAATCGCTTGAACCTGGGAGGCGGGGGTTGCAGTTGTGGTGAACTGAGATTGTGCCATTGCACTGCAGCCTGGGCAACAAGAGCAAAACTCTGTCTCAAAAACAAAACAAAACAAACAAAAAAACTGGGGTCAGGCCAGCCATGGTGGCTCACGCCTGTAATCCCAACACTTTGGGAAGCCAAGGTGGGTGGATCACCTGAAGTCAGGAGTTCAAGACCAACCTGGCCAACATGGTGAAACCCCGTCTCTACTAAAAATACAAAAATTAGCCGGGCGTGTTGGCGCATGCCTGTAATCCCAGCTACTTGGGAGGCTGAGGGAGGAGAATCGCTTGAACCCAGGAGGTGGAGGTTGCAGTAAGCCGAGATCACGCCATTGTACTCCAGCCTGGGCGACAGGGTGAGACTCTGTCACAAAAACAAAAAACAAAAACAAAAACTGGGGTCAGAAGCTGGGCACAGTAACTCAAGCCTGTAGTCCTAGCAATTTGGGAGGCTGTGGTGAGAGGATCACTCGAGCCCAGAAGTTCAAAACAAGCCTGTGTAATATAGTGGGACTCTGTCTCTACAAAAACTTAAAAAATAGTCAGGCATGGTGTGCACTATAGTCCCAGCTACTCAGGAGGCTGAGGCGGGACGACTGCTTGAGCCTAGGAGGTTGAGGCTGCAGTGAGCTATGATCACACTACTGCACTCCAGCCTGTGTGACAGAGCAAGGCAAAACAAAACTGTGATTGGGTGCTGTGCGGGCACACAATTATGTGGCAAGTTTGAAGTTGTTCTTTTGGAGGACCAAGAAGCGCTGAGAGAGTGAGGGTTGGGAAGAATGGGGTTCAGGTGTGCAACTGCCCTGGGGCTGCCTCTTCAGCTCAGACTTTCTCTGTGTCTCCTGCAGACGGACCAGCAGGCTGAGGCCAGGTCCTACCTCAGCGAGGAGATGATCGCTGGTGAGTGAGGCGCAGCAGGCTGGGCGCTGGGTGGATGTATGCTGGGGACATGTTGGCCTCTGGGCAGGGTTGGGGGGGTAGATGTGAGGCTGACAGTCCAGCTGGCCTCACCTCTGCCCTCTGCCCTCCCGTGCAGAGTTCAAGGCTGCCTTTGACATGTTTGATGCTGATGGTGGTGGGGACATCAGCGTCAAGGAGTTGGGCACGGTGATGAGGATGCTGGGCCAGACACCCACCAAGGAGGAGCTGGACGCCATCATCGAGGAGGTGGATGAGGACGGTGAGTGGGTGTCCCTCGGAGGCAGGGGATGGTGGGGAAAGGCGGCAGTGGCTGGGCTCAGGCTCAGTCCACCACCTGCTCCCCGCAGGCAGCGGCACCATCGACTTCGAGGAGTTCTTGGTCATGATGGTGCGCCAGATGAAAGAGGACGCGAAGGGGAAGAGCGAGGAGGAGCTGGCCGAGTGCTTCCGCATCTTCGACAGGTGCGCTGGGGGCCTGGGAGCCGAGGGAGGGGCTGAGCAGTCAAAGCCTGCCGGCAGCGCTGGAGGGTTCCCCGGGTTGGGGGTGCGGAAGCAGGGCGTCGAGTGTGGTGGCCAGGGCAGCTCGCCCTGGCCCTAAGCTCTGCCCTGACCCTTGGACCTGAAGGAATGCAGATGGCTACATCGACCCGGAGGAGCTGGCTGAGATTTTCAGGGCCTCTGGGGAGCACGTGACGGACGAGGAGATCGAATCTCTGATGAAAGACGGAGACAAGAACAATGACGGCCGCATTGACTTCGACGGTGAGGGAGGGCCACGGGAGCTTGGGAAGAGTGGGTGGGAGCCACAGGGGACGGCGAGCACTGGTGCCTGGCTCCCGTGCAGTGTCTTTGGCCTTGTGGGCTGGGCTGGGCATAACTTCAAAAGTTCCCCTAGTCTCCTGGGGGCGGGTATAGAAGCACCCACGACTCTGTGCAGTTTATCAATTAATGACCAGGCAGTGGGGGCGTGGTGGCTCAGGACTGTAAAATCCTGGAACTTTGGGAGGATGAAGCGGGAGGATTGCTTGAGGCCAGGAGTTCGAGACCATCCTGGGCAACATAGTGAGACCCTGTCTTTACAACAAATAAAATAAAAAGGCGGGCGTGGTGGTATGTGCCTGTGGTCACAGTTGCTCCAGGGGCTTAGGTGGGAGGATTGCTTGAGCCCAGGAGATTGAGGCTGCAATGAGCTATGATTGTGCCACTGCACTCTAGCCTGGGCAACAGACCTTGGCGACCTTGGCGACAGATCGAGACTGTGTCTCAACAAAAACAAAAAAAAGTCATCCCCTCTGTGTGGCTGGAGCCCTGGCCTGGCCTCTGCGTCCCCAGTGGGACCCCTGACCCTCTCCCTCTCCTTTCCCACAGAGTTCCTGAAGATGATGGAGGGCGTGCAGTAAGGAGTGGTTAGTCGCCTCCACCAAGATCACGTGTCCCTAGGGTGTGGGAGACTCCGCCCTGCCGGGTCCCCACCAGGGAGGCACGGCCCCTTGTGGGTCTTTGTCTGCAAGGAATAAAAGCAAATGTTCCAAAACTCGTGGCCTGAATGGGGGGAAAGCTGGGAACAGTGGGTCTCAAAGGTTGCGGTCCAGGGCGCCATCCCAGCTGGCACCACCTGGAGCACCCTCAGGGATCCCGGGAGAGGCTGTCGGAGCTGCGGGATGTGGGAGCAGCGAGATGCGGAAGGGAGCTGGGCCCTGGAGCCCGAGGCAGGCTCTGCGGGTTCACGGCTGGCTCCCGACAGCTGGCGCTAGGTGTGCGCAGCTTGACGGACGGGGCAGTGGTGGCTCCAGGAGGCTGCAGGGGCTTGGAGTTGAGTCAGGGTGAGCCGGCAGACTGCGGAGGGAGGGGTCCCGGGACTGCAGGTAGGGTGAGGGGGTGGGAGAGGCTAGAACCCTGGGGAGCTGGGAAGCTCCCTCACTTCCCCACCGTCCTTCTTTTCTGGAATGTTGGCATCTTAGATGTTGTCATAGCTGCCACCTTCTGCAGGCTCCCTAGCTGGGGAGAGGGGGAGTAGGTGCCCATCCATGCCAGGTAGCATTGTTTCTGCTTGACCTTTTACTTCCTCTTTTCTTCCAAGTGCTTAATCCTCGCTTTGTACTGGTGGTGGTAGGGGAGGGTGGAGGCACTCACTAAGGAGATTCTGATCTCATCATTTGACCCCAGATCTCTGCCTCCACCCGGTCTCAGCCAGTGCACTCTACAGAGGGCCATCAGCACCAGTGAGCTAAAGTATCTGACCTGGCCACTGCCCCATTGAAAGTAGTTCGGTGCTCCTCACTGCTTCTAGAATGAGATCCAAATTCCTTCCCTCCCTCCCTCTCTTTCTTTTTTTTTTTTTTTTTTTTTTGAGACGGAGTCTCGCTCTGTCGCCTGGGCTGGAGTGCAGTGGCGCGATCTCGGCTCACTGCAAGCTCCGCCTCCCGGGTTCACGCCATTCTCCTGCCTCAGCCTCCCGAGTAGCTGGGACTACAGGCGCCCGCCGCCTCGCCCGGCTAATTTTTTGTATTTTTAGTAGAGACGGGGTTTCACTGTGTTAGCCAGGATGGTCTCGATCTCCTGACCTCGTGATCCGCCCACCTCGGCCTCCCAAAGTGCTGGGATTACAGGCGTGAGCCACCGCGCCCGGCCCCTCTCTTTCTTTCCACAGCCACACTGGGCAATTTATTCCTGATATGGACCTGGAGTACATTTTCAAGCCCTTGGTACTTTGCACATGTTGTTTGCCCTCCCTGGAATGCCCTTGTCTTTCTTATAAGCTGGCAGATTCTTCAACCTACAAGACCCAGCTCAGATACCATCTCTTCCCTTGAACCCTCCCCTCACTGGCTATTTGCTGCTGTAGTGATTTGTATACAACAGGTATCAGATCACAGCTAATTAAGTGTAGGGGGTAGTTTAGCTTTAGAGACAGAATGCCTGAGTGTGAGTGCTCACTGCCTGTGACAAACTAAACCACTCTGTGCCTCAGTTTTCTCACCTGTAAAATGGGGATAATGATAGTACACACAGGGTTGTGAGAAGTTAGTGTGTGCAAAGTGCTTATAGCAGTGCCTGGCACATAGCAAGCATTTTTTTTTTCTTTTTAACAGAGTTTTGCTCTTGCCACCCAGGCTGGGGTGCAGTGGCACAATCTTGGTTCACTGCAACCTCCACCTCCTGGGTTCAAGCGATTCTCCTGCCTTAGCCTCTTGAATAGCTCGGATTACAGGCGCCCACCACCATGCCTGGCTAATTTTTGTATTTTTAGTAGAGACCAGGTTTCGCCATGTTGGCCAGGCTGGTCTTGAGCTCCTGACCTCAGGTGATCTGCCTGCCTCAGCCTCCCAAAGTGCTGGGATTACAGACATGAGCCACCGTGCCTGGCCTGTTGTTTTCGCCTCCTGGGTTCACGCCATTCTCCTGCCTCAGCCTCCCGAGGAACCAGGACTACAAGGCACCTGCCACCACGCCCGGCTAATTTTTTTTTGTATTTTTAGTAGAGTCGAGGTTTCACCGTGTTAGCCAGGATGGTCTTGATCTCCTGACCTCGTGATCCACCCTCCTTGGCCTCCCAAAGTGCTGGGATTACAGGCTTGAGCCAACTCGCCCAGCCCTGTTTTGTTTTTTAAATGAGACGGGTCTCGCTCTGTTGCCCAGGCTGGAATATAGTAGGTGATCACAGCTCACTGCAGCCTTGACCTCCTGGGCTCAAGCGATCCTCCTGTCTCAGCCTCCCGAGTAGCTGGGACTACAAATGGGTGACCCCCCCACTAGTTTTTGTTATTTTTAGCAGAGATGGAATCTCACTATGTTACCCAGGCTGGTCTCAAACTCCTGAGCTCAAAGAATCCTCTCACTTTGGCCTCCCAAAATGTTGGGGTTATAGGCATGAGCCACCAAGCCCAGCCTCTATTGTCACCTTGCTCATTGCTTTAGTTCTTTCTCTCCATCTGTCTTTTTCTCTTCTTCCTCTTTTGTCCTATTCATGTTTTTCTGTTTTTATTTACAGCCAGGATCAGTGCTGGGGTTTGGTAAACATTACTATTTACTGAGTGCCTACTGTATACTGTGCCTTATGGACATTGTCTCATTCACTCACATAACATCCCTAGAGGCAGATGTTGCTTTCTCCACTTTACAGTTGGAAAACTAAGGCCTAGGGAGGTGAAGTACACAGGCACCCAGATAATAACCTAGGTAGTATCGCCGTGCACTATGTGGTTTGCACAGGAGCAAGGCTCTTAACTCCGATGCCATCTACCTGTTATTGGTTCTACCTGAATATCTTTTTTTTTTTTTGAATTATATACATATTTTAAAATAGAGATGGAGGCCGGGTGCCATGGCTCACACCTGTAATCCCAGCACTCTGGGAGGCCGAGGCAGGCGGATCACTTGGGGTCAGGAGTTTGAGACCAGCCTGGCCAACATGAAAAAACCTCCTCTCTACTAAAAATATAAAAATTAGCCAGACACACGCCTGTAATCTTAGCTACTTGGGAGGCTGAGGCAGGAGAATTGCTGGAACCCAAGAGGTGGAGGTTGCGGTGAGCCAAGACTGCGCCACTACACTCCAGCCTGGGTGACAGAGTGAGACTCTGTCTTAAAAAATAACATAGGCCGGGCGTGGTGGCTCATGCCTGTAATCCCAGCACTTTGGGAGGCCAAAGCGGGTGGATCATCTGAGGTTGGGAGTTTGAGACCAGCCTGACCAACATGGAGAAACCCCGTCCCTACTAAAAATACAAAATTAGCCGGGCGTGGTAGCGCATGCCTGTAATTCCAGCTACTTGGGAGGCTGAGGCAGGAGAATCACTTGAACCCAGGAGCCAGAGGTTGCAGTGAACCGATATTGCACCATTGCACTCCAGCCTGGGCAACAAGAGTGAAACTCCATCTCAAAAAATACATAAAAACAAATCTGATCATGTCACTGCCCTGCTTAAGGCTTCGCCTCAAGATAAAGTCCAAGTTTTTTTTTTTTTAAGAAACTGAATCTCCCTGTCACACAGGCTGAAGTGCAGGGGCACAATCATAGCTCACTGAGGCCTTGAACTCCTAGGCGCAAGGGATCCTCCCCCAGCCCCTAGTTATTTTTTGTAGAGATGGGATCTCACTTTGTTACCCAGGCTAGCCCAAGTATCTTAATATGGCCTTCCAGCCTATCATGACCTGATGTCTATGTGACTTCCCCATCCTTTACTCTTTTTTTTTTTTTTTTTTGAGACAGTTTTGAGTTTTGCGTTTGTCAGCCAGGCTGGAGAGCAGTGGCGTGATCTCAGCTCACTGCAACCGCTGCCTCCCAAGTTCAAGCAGTTCTCCCACCTCAGCCTCCCAAGTAGTTGGGACTACAGGCGCCACATGCCCGGCTAATTTTTATGTTTTTAAGAGACGAGGTTTCACCATGTTGGCAAGGGTGGTCTTGAACTCCTGAGCTCAGCTAATCCGCCTGCCTTGGACTTGCAAAATGCTGGGATTATAAGCATGAGCCACCACTCTCAGCTGTGTATTCCTCTCCTTACATACTCCTGAACTTGCTATCCAAGGAATGTGCATCTCCCTCAGGTCTCAATTCCCTTCTCCAAAAACCTTTCCTTGACCCTCCTATTCTATTGGGTGCTCCACCTATGAACTTTCCTGGCTATATGTGAGTTCAGCACCCAACCTTTATTGAGTGCTTACTATCTACCAGGCATTGTTCTAAGGTCCTTCCACTGTCTTATGAGGTAGGTGCTAGTATTTTCATTTTACCGAGAGGTTAAATGTAACTGTCTACATGTTTACGGGCAAATGGAGGCGGAGCCAGGATCCTGAAACAGTTCTGCTTACCTGGTCTGAGCCTTTTTTTCTTTTGGAGATGGAGTCTTGCTCTCGTTGCCGACTGGAGTGCAATGGGTGATTTGGCTCACAGCAATCTCCGCCTCCCAGCTTCAAGCGATTCTCCTGCCTCAGCCTCCTGAGTAGCTGGGATTACAGGCACTCGCCACCATGCCTGGCCGATTTTTTGTATTTTTAGTAGAAACAGGGTTTCATCATTTTGGCCAGGCTGGTCTCAAACTCCTGACCTCAGGTGATCCACCCACTGCAGCCTCCCAAAGTGCTGGGATTACAGGCATGAGCCACCATGACCAGATTGGTCTGAGCTCTTAATCACTGGGCTGTATGGCACTTATTCCCCAGTCCCCCAAGCAGAGGGCCTTTATCTTGCAGGAATTCAATAAAATGGGAATCATAATAATCAGAAATTCAAATACTTCCTGACCAGGCTTTTTTTTGTTGCAAGTGCCAGAAATCTAAATAAAACGGACTTAAACCAAAAAGGGATTTGTTGGTTCATTGAACTGGGATGGCAAAGCATGAACTGGAGGCCAGAGTCTCAGCTAATTCGTCTCTCCAGCTCCCAGCTGTTGGTCTCTGCTTAGTTTTCTTCTGTCTGCAGCGGGGCTCCCCCAGCAGCTGAGACCGATTCCCTTCTCTTTCAGCAACCTCATTAGTAAAATAACTTTACTCTCTCTCAGTGATTAATTTCAGAGAACACCAATTGAATCTGAACTACAGTTTAGACCTGTGACTGGCCTAGGGCAGGCCATGTGACCATCTAGGGTACCAAACACCATGACCAAGGACCACATGGCAGACAAAAACACATCCACCACAGTTAGCATTTGAAACATTTCTTTCAGAGATAAGGTCTTACTCTGCTGCCTAGGCTGGAGTGCAGTGGTACAATCACAGCTTACTATAACCTTGAATTTCTGGCCCCAAGTGATCCTCCAATCTTGGCCTCCCAAGATCTTGAGATTGCTGATGTGAACCACCAAGCCCGGCCAGCATTTATTTTTCTTTTAAAATTTATTATTTGAGATGGGGGTCTCACTGTGTTGCCCAGGCTGGTCTTGAATTCTTAAGTTCAAGCAATCCTCCTGCCTCCGCCTCCCAAAGTGCTAGGATTACAGGCAGTGAGCCACCACACCCGGCCCTGGCCAGCATTTGTTGACTAATTTAGTGCCAGGCTCTGAGCTCTGGTTTTCTCCAGTATCTGCTAACCTAGTGATTTTCAACCCTGGGAGACCTTCAGAACCTGGAGGGCAGTTTGGGGTCAAGAATTAGCCTAACAAGTTCCAGGTGCTGCTGGTGCTGCTGGAAGGACCACATTCTAAGAACATTGCTCTAAATTTTGTTCTTAACTAGACCACAGCAATGACATCACTTGGAAACTATTTAGAAACCAAAATAAATAAAGACTGGATCTTAGGCTCCACTTCACACCTACCGAAAATATTTTAATTTTACAAGATCCCAAGTGTATTTGTATGCATGTTAGATTAAGAAAAAACCCAAGAGGAGAGACCTAAGAGCACAACTGTAGACATGAAGGGACCTAACTTCCAATCCCAACCCCTCCCCGCTTCAGGCTTGCACAACCAACCGGCTGCTAACAGACCTGAAGGAGTTGGGTGCAAGGCTGGAGCACATCTGGGTGCTGCTTATCTACTTTGGAGATCTTCCTGAAGGGCTTTGCGGGGGGTGGGGAGAAGGGGCTATCACTTCAACCTACTCTTCCACCTGCCGACCCTTGCCGGGACCCAGCTGGTCAGCAGGGGTTTCCTCCTAGGGGCTCAGAGGCTGGAGACTTCATCAGGCCAGGGAAACGAGGCAGCCCAAGGGGCTGGGGGCTTGCTGGGGGATATACAGCAGGAGGTGACTGTGCCCCCTTGGAGGTGGAGCTCCACAGGGGACTTGGGCTAGAGTCTGGAGACCAGAGCTCAGACCTGAGAGTCCTCCAAAGGAAGGGGCTTTTTCCTGGCAGTCTCCCCAGGCCCTGGACCTGCTTAGGGTGACCTGAGCATTCTTCAGGACAGAACATGGGGTGGCTGTGTGGTGGGATCCTCCCCAACACACACGCTTGTTCCTTCTACAGCTATAGGAGGTTTCAGCCTAAGGTCTGGCTCAGCCTCATCTGCAACACAGCTGAGGGAACTCCAACATTCAGTAACATTGCTGGTACACATCACCGACTCCATAGACAGGAAGTATCATTGTGACACTCATTTTATAGATGAAGAAACAGATGCAGAGTCATAAAATAAGGTACAAGGGAATAAATCCTTGTCACCTCACTGCTTGGCCCCACATCCTTAAGTTCCACCTCTGCCTACCCTGAGTACCTCCAACCCTAGTGTAACTACAAGGCAACGACTTGTCTAAAAAAGGACCAAAATGCATTTATTTAATATACATCACAAGGGCTCAACCGAGGCTTAATTTAAAAGACAAAAACAAAACAAAAATAATACCACAGCTCAAGATACAGAGTCCTATACAGAAATCACAAAAAGGACAGACCATCTAAGGAAAAATTAAGAAGACAACACAAGGACAGGCTGGGCAGCCTGGGTCAGGGCTCCTGGCTGGTGACCTGCTTTGAGTAGGTTTCTTGCAGGTACTTCTTAAAAGCTAGAAGAGAACAGGCAGGTCTCAGTGAGTGATGGAGACAGGATGAGTTCATCTTTACTATTTATTACTATTGTTTTTGAGAGGGAGCCTCACTCTGTTGACCAAGCTGGAGTGCAGTAGCACGATGTCTGCTCACTGTAACCTCTGCTTCCTAGATTCAAGTGATTCTCCTGCCTCAGCCTCCAGAGTAGCTGGGCCTACAGGTGCCCACCACCATACCCGGTTAATTTTTTTGTATTTAGTGGAGACCGGGTTTCACCCTGTTGGCCAGGCTGGTCTCAAACTCCTGACCTCATGTGATCCACCCGCCTTGGTCTCCCCGGATGCTGGGATTATAGGCATGAGCCACTGTGCCTGGCCCAGGATGAGTTAATTAAGGTGGGCAAAAGGCAGTTTGACCAGGGATGCAAAGGTGGGAGGAGGTGGAGAAGGAGGGGCTGGTTTCCCAGCCAGGCTTTCTCCCTGCACTGCCCATCCAGGCAGCTTTCCTGGAACGGCTTGCTTCCAGCGAGACTGGCGGGCACAGGCACGGCACTCTACTAAGCAACCTCTTAACCTGCATTAATATGGAAGAGGTTAATCCCACCTTCCCCCTTTTTGAGACAGGGTCTCACTCTGTTGTCTGGGGTGGAGAGCAGTGCTGTGATCACAGTCCACTGTAACCTCGAATTCCTGGCCTCAAGCTATCCTCCTGCCTTGGCCTCCCCAATAATTTCCCAAAATTACTTACAGCCAAAAATTTTTATTCTGCTATAAAATAATTGCTATTTTATAGCAAACAGGAGCACTGGGGCAGAAGCAGAAGTGGGTTGCTGCCAATACTCCACCCTGCCCCAACCAACCCGGTCCCAACTCACTGGGCTCCTTTTGTTTGAAGGAGCCTTTGAAGGTTGGGGGAGGGATCACCCTGGGCTCAAGGACTGAGGACTCACCTGTGGGGTTTTTCCAGAGCTCGGCAGCATGAGTGTTCAAGGGACTATCAATGTTGGGTTCTGTGGGTGGAGAGAAAGAGGTCAAGGGGGTAGAAGGGGCTGACCCCGGGAAGTCCGGAGAGGTTCCCAAGTTGCATGAGGGGAGGGGGTGGTCTCTAAAGTCACCTCCTAGAAGGCTCTGGATGGAGAGCAGAATGGTCCTGACGTCATATAGGGCAGACCACTTGTCCTTCAGGATGTCCAGGCATATGTTACCCTGGGTGTCCACATTGGGGTGGTAGCAGGGTGTGAGGAATTTCACCGTGGGCGCATTGTAAGGGTAGCCACTGGGGAATTCTAGTGAGAGCTTATACCTCAGGTCTTCATATACCTGGCATTTGGAGAAATAGACGCAGAGTAAGCTCCAGCAGCAGCCTCCTATCCCAACCCAAGCCCCACACAAGGGGCGTGCTAGAACCCCGAGTTTCTCTGGGAGCAGACAGTAGACACGCTGTTGAGCTGGTTCTGATGCTCCCCACTGCCTTTTACAAGTTTTTTTATTTTAATTTTTATTTTAGAGACAGGGTTTCACCATGTTTCCCAGGCCAGTCTCGAACTCCTGGGTTCATGTGATCTGCCTGCCTCAGCCTCCCAAAATGCTGGGATTACAGGTGTGAGCCACCGTGCCTAGCCTGATGCTTTCCTCTTATCTGGTGGAGACATCAGTGATTCTTTGGTCTAAGGATTGAAAATTGGCATTCTGTGCTTTATTTCAATTAGAATATTAGTTGCTAATATGTAAAAATTAGGAGAGATGGCACAGGTTTGGACTCCTGACTCATCTTAAACCTGATCTGCAGCAATGGGAAGCTGTGCTCTCCTGTTGGCCAGAGTCCTCACTCCATCCATTTCCTTGCTGTCTGGCCCCCTAAAAACATCTAAGATAGACAGCCCTGCTTTAAACCCACCCTCTTATTGTGCAGAGGGAAAGAACAAGGCCACATGGCTCAGAGAATGTGAACAGTCACAGCTGGAGTGTCTTGTTCCACCAAAGGTTTGAAGCAGAGCTCTCACTGGGATCTCACCTCCCACCTTTCCCCAGACTCACTCACCCATCCCAGCCCTACACTTACTGTTCCAGCTGCTCCATGGATGGTCCCTACCCATTTGAAAAGGTTGTCTGATTCAGGGAAGGCAGAAATCCCTTTATCGCCAGACATCTGGGGAGGAAACACATTTGCTGGAATGTGGAGTACACTTTCGGGCACAGCAAAAGTCAGTGGGTGAGCTTTCCCCTTAATCACATATGCATTATCTCACACACACACACGCATATATATATACACACACATATGAGAGATATAGATGGGGTTACCCCATCTCTACAGACACACACACACACTCGCTCTGTGGCCCAGGCTGGAGTATAGTAGTGCGCTCAGCTCACTGCAACCTCTGTCACCACGGTTCAAAGGATTCTCGTGCCTCAGCCGCCCGAGTAGCTGGAATTACAGGCATGCACCACCATGCCTGGCTAATTTTTATATTTTTAGTAGAGATAGGGTTTTGCAATGTTGGCCAGGCTGGTCTTGAACTCCTGACCTCAAGTGATCCACCCACCTTAGCCTCCGAAAATGTTGGGATTATAAGGCGTGAGCCACCGTGCCCGGCCTCCCCTTAATCTCGTCACACTCTGATCCAAAATAAAGCAACCAAATTCATAAGCTAGAAATACCAAGAAGGGTGGGGAGTTGGGTGTGGGTAAAGCTTGGTTGGGGCCAGGAAGTAGGGACACACTGGACAGGGAGGGTCTTGTATGACTTCAGGGAAGTGTTTTAGAGATAACTTCATGTGGGGGGGATGGAGCTGGGAGGAGGGACTGCTGGAAGAAATGGTGTAGGTGGGGTGTATGAACTTCTTCCCAGGGGGGAGCAAATTACATTTATATTTTACCCCTATGTCTAGCAAAAAAGCTGACGGAGGAAAGGAGGCTACTGAAAATTGGGTGGAAGGCTGGGGTTCTGGGTACTTAGTCACTCACCATGAGGGTCATCAGCTCCTGCTGTAGCCTGCAAAAAGAGCATTCGGGGTTAACTGGGAGTCTGGATGGGCCAGGGCTCCAGATGGTGCATCTTCTCCCATTTGAATCTCTCACGGGGAACCGTCATGGAGGCTCCCCATTTCGTCAAGGTCAGGCTCAGCTCAGGGTACACTCACCAGATCCACAGGACGATCCTAGCGAGTCCTCACCCTCCCTAATTCCAGACTCCCTCGGGATGATTCTGGCATGTTCTTAATTCCCCAGGCTTTGGCATCTCTTCCTTGCCCGAGTCAACTTCTCCCTTCCCCTGTCTCCGCCAAATACGAGGGTCCTTGCGCGTCTTCATCTAGGCTCACCCGGGAAGGAGACTGGCAGCGCCCCTACCCTCCCATCCTCCTTCGGGAGAATCTCAAAGAACGGTCTGGGCTCCTGGCGTGTCCCCTGTCTCTCAAATCTCACCCGCTCAAGGAGGTGGGAGTCCCGGAAGTCTCCGCCCTCGGCACCCATGCCCAGGGGAATGCCAGGCCCCGAGCTCCTGGTGTGTTCTCCTGCACCCGCATATCTCCCGCTCCAGGAGGTGGGACGGGGGTGGTCCTAGAAATCTTTGCTCTGGGTCCCAATGCCTAGGGCATGGCAGGCCCAGCGAGTGGTACGCCGCGTCACCCACCTTTTGCCCACGGGACCCCGGGCGGCGCCCCCGCTCGGCTCGGCTCCTTTACGGGCGGCGGTGACGCTAGTGGCTGCCGGGTCGCGGTTTTGGGAAGCCATCCGGGCGGCGTTGGCAGAGAGACAGGAACTCGGAGAACACGACTGCAACTGCAGGGCTGCGGGCCCGCCCGCCCGCGTTTGAATTGTAACCCTCTGGGGGCGTCGACCAATCAGTGACTCGCTTGGGTTTGATCCAGCCAATGGGACGCGCCGGAGCGCTCTGTCGCTGCTCCACTGCTAGACCTACCCACCGGCGCACCACTATTGGGCGGCAGGATTCGCTTCTGACAGCCGATTGGTAGACGGGCTGCCATTAACTAACGAATCCGTAGCGGATTGGTGGCCTTTGGAAAACGCTAACCATTAAAGGGCCAAGAAAACGTCCAGGTGGGACGAACCTCTCCTTAAGGCTACACGCCTTACTCCGCTTGGGAACAGCCGGCACACCCAGCCTTGATCCGATCTCCCTCGGGAAGGGAGTGCCTCCAATCCTGCGGCACTGGTACCCTTCCCCCAAACCGGAAACCTCTGCTCCTCCCCACAATTATAATCGCCGGGGCATCTTTGCTGAGTCCTAAGTATGTGAAAATCCCAGCGAGGGGAAAAACTAAAGGCTGATGGCCAGAGCAGCAGGCTCCCTATTAGAAAACATAGGTTCATACATCTCCGCAGAGATGACAGGAAAAAAAAAAAAAAAAAAAAAAAAAGACAGCATTGGTTCAGGCCCTGCGCTGTGGCTCACGTCTGTAATCCCAAACACTTTGGAAGGCTCAGGCAGGAGGATCGCTTGAATCCAGGAGTTCGAGACCAGCCTGAGCAACAATATAGGGAGGCCTGTCTCTACTTAAGGGGGGGGAAAAAAAAAAAAGGCTGGTGAGGTGGCACGAACCTGTAGTCCCAGCTACTGGAGAGGCTGAGGCTGAGGCAGGAGAATCGCTTGAGCCAGAGGCTACACTCTAGCCTAGGCAACAGAGCAAGACTGTCTTCAAACAAACAACCCCAATAACACAGGTTCATATCCTGTATATCCTACCTCTCCAATGGGTAGTGTGTGACCTTGGGGCAGGTCCTTTAGTACCTTAACCTGTAAAATGGGAGCAATAAAAGCCAACTCTATTTTTCACATGATCTGTCATCAAACTCCACCACATTCTGCCACGTCCTTAAATTAGCCGGGTAAAGAAACTACAAATGGGGAAGGTACATGGTGCTCCCAGCTTGGTCTCATCAAGCCTGGCTCTATACTGTTATGGGTGAGGGTTATCTTGTCCTTTTTTCCTACATCCACTTCTAGAGCCCTTGATGTTCTGTCAGTTCCTGCAAGGTACAGGTTCACCATCTGTGTTAATTACAAACTGTTTAATTGTTTCTTATCCCAATAATTTTACAAATATAGAACCACATGCCAGTCTGGGGGTGCTGTGCAGTGAGTCACTACAAACTCGCTCAGGCACAGCTTAATGCCGCTGAGATCCATCTAGGAGCAGTCCCAGCAGTGGCCTCAGCCGTGTGAAGAAGAGGGCTTTGGAGGAGGGCTGCCAAGTGTGGCCAGGGCACCTGGCCTCAGGTCTGTGGAGGTGCTTCAACAGTACGATGCTCATTCTCTGTCCGTAGTGTCTCCATATACTTTCTCATCTTCTCCACCATCCAGGAGGGTAGGACAAAGGATTTCAATTCTTCTAGCTTCAGATCCAGGCATCCTCTGGAACAGACATTGAAGAGGGAAGTTGGGGGAAGTGAGGACATAGGCCCTGCCTCATTCTAGGGCCTACTTTGAGGCAGGGAGAGGAGAAGGGGCAGGAGACCCACTGGTTTTACCTGTAGTCATCACTGGCCGCAAGGTCCCGGATGTCTTCCTCGATGAGGAGGTAGGCCTGAGGCAGGAGCAAGGGAGAGGGATCATTGCGATTCATTTCACTCCAACTCAGTAACACTTCATTAAACATCTGCTTAACGTAAGGCTTGCTACTAGGTGGAAGAGGGGGGATGCGGTTTACAATTTAGTAGGGAAGAGTAAGTGGGGAGAGATGGGAATGGTTCCTTGAGACAATCTTTTACTACAGTAGATGCTTTATGGATGGGAGAGTAGGGACTGGTGACTTATTTATAGCCTCCTCTTTTAAAAAAGGACCCATTTCTCTCTTGAATGATGTGAAAAGTAAAAATAAAAAAAAGAAAATAAAGAAAAAAAAAAGGGATCCACCATTACTCCTACACCTTTTGGTTAAGATCAAGTGTACAAAAGGACCCAAGGTGGGTTATAACAAAATGGCAAGAAAACCAGCAAAATATACATGGAAATAGGAAATCAGGAAGAGGAAACCATGTGCTCCCTCTGAGGACAAAGATAACTTGGTTTTGAATTTGTGGCAAAATGGAAAACATGGTAAACTGCCCTGCTGTCTAGTAATTGGCCTGTATTGTACTGAGGCCTGTAGAAATGCTTTGTCACAATGCCTCGGTCTACAGTGGGTGAGGGCCCTTTTGTGAACTTAACATATAGAAAGAGTTGTTCATCACATTAGAAAGTCTTCTGTGGGAGACTTTTTAATGTTAGGGTCAGGAATAATTGTGTATCCCTCGAGTAATTTATCTACATCTTATGGGCACTATGAACCATAACAGATCAGGTGTCCATGAGCGGAGCCTAGAGCTGAATTTGCCAGCATCTGTAGAAGTGCACAGGTCTCCCAGGTCAGCAATATAAAAAACACTTTTTTTTTTTTTTTTAAAGAACTAGTTTTACTGGTGGCTTAATTTTAGGTCCTGCCCCCACCCCCTACCATCTATTTCTTATTTATGTTATATTTTATGTACATGGAGCTTAAATCTTTTTTGAAGTAAAGCATAGGCATAGAGTGGTACAATAAAATCAAAGGTAGCTCTCACTGGCAGAAAGGAGATGGCATATCATTTTGTAAGACACTTAGATTCTAAAAGGAGCAGTACCTGTGGTGGGAGGGAGTGAGTCCTCAGGTGGGGGACATTGTGTGTGATGGACAAAGCCCTCAACACTAGTTTTTGAACACATGCAATGATGATTTTCCTAAGGTTGCTGTTTCATATGATCTGAGAACTCTTTAAGTAGAGGTAAATCTGGAGGGGGCTGCCAGGTGTGCAAACACATTTCATTGCTAACTCCTACTGCCAAGGGTTGCGGCCTCGAGTACTGGTTTGAGAAAAGATTCTATAGCTGTGTCTGGTGGAAGAGTGATCAATGAGTGAAGTCTATCAATGGGTGCAATAGTGGGGAAAAGTAGTATTGTGTGTCTTATACCTGCTATTCCCATGGACAGCTAATAATATCCAAATATGTGATCTTGGAGGCATGAGGAGAAAGTGTGAGGGGGCGGAAGGGAGATCTAGGGGATAGGGAAGGGAACCTGAAGATTACAATTTGCTCTTCAGCATGAAGAAATGGGCCTATAAGTCTCTCTTCTCACACACTGGTCAGGCTTTGGGAGTCAGATTTGGAGGTAAGCTGTCACCTACAGCCAAAATCCTGGTTTCCAGGTGGGGTGGGTCGCTGGCAGTGGCACAAGTGAATACTGCTTACCATCTTGCCCCCTGTTGCCCGCATGTGATGCTGCTCAGCCAGCCAGTGCTTGTCCTGGGGGTCAGCTGCATACTGTAAGGGATGAAGTTATAAGAGAATTAGCCTCGGGTAAGGGGCTCTTCTCATTTGGTCCCAGAGCATACTCTTGGCCCTTGAGCAGCTCTTACCAAAAGTTCTTGTCTCCTAGCGTGGTGGACTTAGAGGGCTCACTAATCTCTTCAGAGAAAGCTGAGCCAAACCCAGAGGGCAGACCATGGGACCCAATTCCCAGAGACTTAGTATACTCCCAATCCTCACTCCCTTCTCAAAACAAAGCACCCTGGGCAACTGGTGGGACTGATAACTATTACTTTAGAGCTTTCTCTTTTAAAAAATGAACTGAGGTGGCTTGTAACGCCTGTAATTATTACAGTGACCATAATAAAACAAAAATCAGGACACCTCATGTACTGTCAGATGCATAATAGCATCATGGTTAAGAACTCAGTTTTGGAGTTACAAATGAGATTTGTTTGTTCATTTATTTATTGAGATGGAGTTTCACTCTTGTTGCCCAGGCTGGAGTGCAATGGAATGATCTTGGTTCACCACAACATCCGCCTCCCAAGTTCAAGCGATTCTCCTGCCTCAGCCTCCCAAGTAGCTGAGACAACAGGCATGCGCCACCACACCTGGCTAATTTTGTATTTTTAGTAGAGACGGGGTTTCTCCATGTTGTTCAGGCTGGTCTTGAACTCCCAACCTCAGGTGATCTGCCTGCCTTGGCCTCCCAAAGTGTTGGGATTACAGGTGTGAGCCACTGCGCCCAGTTGTTTATTTATTGAGACGGAGTCTCACTCTGTCATTCAGGCTGGAGTGCAGTGGTGTAATCTTGGCTCAATACAACCTCTGCCTCCTGGGTCCAAGCTATTCTTCTGCTTTAGCCTCCTGAGTAGCTGGGATTACAGGCATGTGCCACCACACCCAGCTGACTTTTATATTTTTAGTAGAGACAGGGTTTCACCATGTTGGCCAGGCTGGTTTTGAACTCCTGGTCTCAACTAATCCACCTGCCTCAGCCTTCCAAACTGTTGGGATTACAGGTATGAGCCACCGTGCTCAGCCCAAATAAGGCTTAAATTCTGGTTTCTAGGTTGGGCGCCTAGAAACCAGAATTTAAGTGCCTTAAAAAATAAAAAATTTGAGGAGTGAAGGGACGCTGAATTTTTTTTTTTTTTTTTTTTGAGACAGAGTATCGCTCTGTCACCCAGGTTGGAGTGCAGTGGCGTGATCTCGGCTCACTGCAACCTCTGCCTCGTGGGTTTAGGCAATTCTCCTGCCTCAGCCTCCCGAGTAGAGTAGCTAGGAA